ATTTAGCTCAAAATAGTCAAAATCATATGAATATCATCAAACAGAATAATAATAATAACAGTAATTCTGCACATAATCATCAAAGTAGTCCAGAAAGAAATCTATCCAATTTAAGAACATCGTTTGATCCAACTGTACATTATCAACAATTTCAATTGGCTGCTGTTGCTAAAGAACAACAACAACATCAACCTCATCAACAACAATTGTTGTTACAACAACGTCAACAACAACAGCAAAATATTGGTTTTGTTGAACGTAGTCAATCATCACATCATCATACATTACCAGGCTCGGCTGTTGCTTCTGTATCTTCGTCTCCTGTTGCCGCTGCCGCTGCTCTTCTTCTTCAATGTTTAATCATTTACATTCACAAGCGTTTCCTAATTTTCATTTTCCACAGTTTTAATTGGATCATCATAATTTATGATGTAATTATTGGGGTTTTTATGTGGGGGAGGGACAAGAGCAATGATTCAATATTTTAATGTTATTTCAATTAGTAGTTCGCCCATTTACTCAATGTTTGTGTATGTTTGTCATATGCACAACTGAGAATATTCTTTTTACTCGTTTTCCTGTACTAGACACAATTGTGAAGAAAAATATGTTTTATTGTTGTAAACAAAACGTAACGGTGTTATTAATTCCTCAACCCCCCCTACCATTTCATAGGGTTCTTTTTTATACATAAATCTCACATTGTTAAACTATCTTTATGAATAGTAAGTATTATGAAAATGAAATAGTAATGACAAGATCATTACAAAAAGAAAGGAGACTATTTTGAATCATTATTTGTAAAGTTATATTCTCTTGTGTATATTTAACACTTTAATAGTTGATTTTTTCAATCTCATAATGTACATACTGTCTCTAATACTACTCCTACTACTACTTCGATGTATTATTCAATTTATTTTAAAACTTTATCTTTTCAATGTTCAGAGATTATTCTAAATAGACATGCATATATATATATTGTATTATAAATTGCATGCATAATAATTTTCCTAATATTGTTTTGTTCGTGAACATTGTCATGGTTTAAACGTTCACTTTCGCATATATATGAATCATTGTACTTTGTCACAATTTGATTGATTTATTTTTCCCATTATTCATCGTTAACAATTGTTTCACTCAAATGATATTTATATATATATTTGTGTGTGTGTGTGTGTCAACCGGTTGTTGATATGTGCTACAATACATCAGTTTAGAGTATTGTCCATTTATCATCATTTTCTCTCATATCAGTTTCGCTTGAAAGTGTATTTGAGAATTGTCCAATGTTTCAGCCAATTATGTGTGTACATCATCATCATTAGCAGCAGGAGTATCATTACCACTGTTATTACTATGACTATGACTATTGCCATTACATTTGAACAGCATAAATAAATAGTTATTTCTTAATTTATTTACTTAATTCATAGTAAATATTGTCTATATTACATATATTTATATTCATATGATAACAAATTGTTTTGATAATTAGGAAGGATAATTATAAATTGTTCAATACCGACATTGTTACTTTTAATTCTTATTATTAACAGCAATAATTATATATATACCTCTGTTATTTTATAAAAATAGAAAATTATATATGATGCATTTAATTGTGAACTTTGTTTTTTCCAATCTGTTATGTTGTTGTTTTCAATCTCATAATTCCTGATGATCGGCGATGTTTTCACCTATACCTATATGTGTCTGTTTCTTTGTGTGTGTGTGTGTGGTTGTAAACTCATTGAGTTTTAGTAGTTGGGCAAAAACTGATCTCTTTTTTGTCAATTTTTTTAAATTCATAGTTTCATGTTCTTTCTGAGATGCTAATATGATTTGTTCATATGTATGTTGGTGAGTTATTGTAAAACAATTCATGTGACCAAACAGGTTTAAAAATGGTCACCGGTATTTACCCACTAATTATTTCCAATCTACATTTAGTCTATAAAATTAGTACTTTGTGTAGAAATATCTTGATCACAATTCTCCAAACTCTGTTAAAACTTGTTTGTGATTTAAGGCAGTAGTTAGAGGTAGTCGACATGATACCGTGGACCTAGGTTTCGTGCTGTTTAGAACTCACCAACGCCAAGGTGTATCTGTGATCTTCAGGAATTGATGCTTTCCGGGGGATTCAATTTTGTGTCACCCAGCTTCACAGTCAGAGACGTTACTGCTTGCTCATCCGGGCCGTTTCTGACCTCTCTTAGGACTTGAATGTATTTACAATTGAATAATCACTTGGTAGTGACCCATATTGCTTTCCTTTCAAATGCAATGTGTTATTTCAGGACTACTGGTCAGCATCGATTCCTAGCAACACCATAGTGAATGATGTAGTTCAGCTCATTAATAACTTCATTTATTTTGGAATTTTCATCTTTCTGAGATGCTAATATGATTTTTTCATATGTATGTTGGTGAGTTATTTTAAAACAAATCATTTATTTTGGAATTTTCATTAGCCCTGGTGAATTGTTTCATAGAGTTCCCTTCTATATTACTTTAAGGTTGTAAAATGTTCCTTATTGAAGTAGACAATAAACATGAACTGGAAGTATTCTATCATAGCTATCTTCGAGGCATATGGTTGGACCATCAAATAAATGATTCTGGGAGTAAGCGCATGGTACTAGAACAGTGATATAGCTAAAATACTTCATTGATTAGATTGGTTAAAATACGTATTACATATGCCCGATCTCTGCTTAAACGCACAATACTTTCCGACTTGTGATTAGGTTGGAAAGCAGTAAGGATGGATAAGTCGAGATATGGGGTTAGTTCACTAAGTCATTGACCTTTGATCTAAATTATTTTGGTCAGTAAGAGTTTTCTAAGTGGAGATCACTTAGTATTAGTAGTTAGTGGTTAGATATGCTGTTCGATAATATAAAATCTCTCTGTGAATCAATTGCATTTATTCTTTCCTTATCTAAATCTTGATTTAAATACCATTTCTATCTTTGATATTGGTAATTCTCATGTTTAAACTTTTATAACTTTTTATATTGTTTCTCATCTTGCTTTTTTCCTTTCGATACATTGATATGATGTTTGATCATTTGTACTGGAACATAAACATCTGATCTTATGTTGTTCTTCCATTGACACTATTTTTTCTAATGAAGTTAAAATGCGTATAGTTAGATTGTCATACAGGTTTACTTATTTCTTCAATTTTATAGCATGTTTTTTAAATTACTTTTAACAGCAAAATTAACTTTTACTACTGACTAACTAAAAATAATTAGAAGTTAAGGGTGGCCAAACCAAAACGTGGCATCAATCTTTAAAGTCACTAGCTTCTAGTCTTAGCCATGTTGGTAGATGCAGACTGCTTGGTTGGAGTCCGCGTGACTATCGTAAACAATGGTTGGAGGATCTGGGTGACATGACTCAAAATCGATCACAGTAGCGTAGGTGAATACACTCGTTGTCCTCCATTAAACCGTGAAATTGAAATTGCTTTATATCTTTCTTTCTACGAACTAATTCTTTCTACCTGTATCATATCCTTATATGCAATCTTTTTACTACCATTGAACTGTCTGTATGAATTTAGTGTTCATCTTGTTGTGCTAATGAGGTGTGGCAACTTAGACTGATGTATATATATGCCTGGATCCTACGTTCTAGCTGACTGAGTAAAACTAACATTTCCGTTAATTTATTAATTTTCATATTGTAATTAGTATTATAATTACTTATTTTGACAACGATAAAAACAGTATTCAGTGAATATTCGTTACACCAAATATTGTTCATAGTGTTCTATCAGTTTGTTTTTAAGTAATAAAAGTATTATGTCGTTTACTTATTGTTATTAATTGGATATTCATGTTGAATTATCGTCTGATAAACCTTTTTGTTCATTCTACTTCGTTTTTTGTGTTTTTACAATAATGAATGTTTCGGGGTGTTCACAGAATTGAGAGGACGAAAAGCGAATGTCCGGCGCTTTAACCGGATTCCAAACAAATGGTGCACATGGGCTCCAGTATCCTGAGGGAACAAATGGTGTATGAACCAATTGTGGGTCACCGGCTTCGATAGGACTGCATCTCCTTACGATGCCCCAATGCCTTGTGGATCAGACCTTCAGGTCAAAGGCTCGGGGTGTGTCCCTCTAAGAAAATCACGTGCTTCAGTTTGGGCACCCGGGCAGTATCACAGCCCTCGCTCATATCAAATGAGATATGTGTGGCGCATATGTATTTAATGCCTCCTTATACCAATATCTGTGTTAAACTAAATAAATAAATAAATATTTCGTAGTAGACTTTTAATTAATGATTGTTAGTTTATCGCTATAAACTGAACTATGTTAGAATACTCCTAATCTCAAACAGTAATACATTGATTAACACGCATCATTAAGCGTACTTTATGAATTTAGGAATCATTCAATAGGATCAACCTGATTTCTTGTTCACTTTTATCTCTAACTAAAAGTTGAAACGACCACGAATAAAGGAAAGCGCTTTATGTTTCGATTACCTTTATATAGGTATCGTTAGAAACAAATAGTCAACTATAGACTTTTCAAACTACTATTATTTCTATTAATGTTACACAGTACATTCTCCTTCTCTCTCTCTCTCTGATATTAAATCACTCATCAATTTTCTGTTCTGTGTTTTCTGAAATAAAGTTTACTTCTGATAATTGGAGTTATATAAGCGGTGACTTACGTAACAATTTGTATCAACGTCTTAAAATAACCCATTTAACACTAGTTCTTTAAATATTCACGTAGATTTCTTGGCTATACATACATTTATCTCTTCATCATTCCTTTTCAGTTCTGTAGATGTATATACTTCATTGCTTCCTCGTTGAAAGTTTATTGAGGTTTGGGTATATATATATATATATATATATATATATATATATATATATATATACTGTCTTCTTTTGCTAATAGTAACCTATATACTTTCAAGCACAAATCTCTTCATAAAATACATTGCTTATCTCTCAATTTTGCAAAATTGATTTTTTACATTTTTAGCTTGTGTAGTTATCATAAAATAGATACTTTATTGAATGAAATAAATGCTTGAAACCGTTTTTAAATTGTTATTGATATGATGTTAATCAAATTATCATTTGCTGATTCACATCTTCAGTAAACCACGAGAAAGACGAGTTCCTGGTCGACAATTCTGTTTTAATACATAGCATCGTCTACTGAAACCGTGGTTGTTAACTTGATATGGTGGCTGGGTTTGCATATCATTACGACCACATAGCCTGAAATATTGGCTCTTTTATTTTGCTTGGAGAGTGGTAAACGGAAAAACAACAAGCCCGTAGTCCGAGGGCGAAGCAGTACAGCCAATTATACTGGGATGTAATGGGAGTTAATTATTTCCCTCAGATAACCTGCATCCACAGTCGTATTGTTCTACAACTGTATGAGAGAGCCTAAAATTAACACTTGTTCTTATCCCACGGATTTCCATTTCTAGTAATAATACCCTAAAAGTATGGGATTAATTCATATAAAACTATTTAAAAGAGACTGTGCGACTTTTCCAAAGCAGTTGTTCTTTGGACATTACGGTCAGGTTGTCAAGATCGTTCTTAAGCTAGTTTCCTTTTCAGGCACCTCAGGAAGTATATTTTCATCGTATGTACAACCGGGAAGTAACGACCGCTATCATATATATAGTACATTCTTCTTTTGTGATGTTATTGTTGTTACTGTAGTTTTGTTTACTTAAATTACCACGATTGATAGATATGAAAACATAGAACAAATATATCCTTTCCTTATTTATTTGTTTATAGTAATATGCCTATAGAACAATTATTAGTTCAATCTATTGATGAACTTGCTAGTCAAATTGAATTAGCTCATCAAAATGGGCGTCATGTGTTCGTTTATTTTTCTGGTTCAACTGATATGAACACTGGGGATAGTTGGTCGGAGGATTGTTGTAAATGTAAGTTTTATATTGAATATGTAATTCAAAGTTACTTTTAATTTTATCTATCATAGGTGTATTTATTTTTCTGTCTCAATGCTTTGTTCCAATTTCCTTAAACAACTCATGAGGTTTTGTTCTGTTATAGTCGTTCTTTTAACGAGACTTTTGTTGATATATTAACATTCTAACTGATAATCTCATTATTATTTCTTGATCAATATCATCTATGATGTAAATAAGTGATTAATCAAATTCCAGTACATAGTTGTGGTATGGTTCGTGTGTTTACTCAAGTTTCTGTAGTAAATCCCCTCAGTGAGGTAAAGTTAACGAGATGAGTACTCGTTGGCTCTCCGTTTTGCCGAGGTGAGGTCAAGTGAATGACCACACTGGAATCCTGTATGCGTGTTTCGGAGACACAGCATACATCAATGGAAAGAGACTCTAGGGTTTTAGCCAAGGAAGCCTGCTGACCGATTTGACATAGAGTGCGTACGTTGAAAGCTCCAATGTGTAGTTTGGAGCGAGGTTTCAGTAGACCTGGGACAGAGTTTTGAGCACTAGAATCGTTGGCTATGGTGACACTCGAGGAGGAAGCCGAAGGAGGAAATTTAAAGTTGAAAGTCGATGTAGGAGGAATAATAGGAATTGAAGAGGAAGGTTGATTATGAATACAATGGTCTTGGGTGCTGTTAGAGGTATGAGGGCGGTTATCACTTCCCGGTTGCCCACACCGTGGAAGGGTTCTTCTGGAGGTACCTGAAAAGGAAATTGGATTAGAGGCGGTCTCAGTGACCTGAGAGCGTGACCGCAGTGCCCAAGGGACAACTGCTTGAGGCCGGTCGCGCACGGCCTTTTCGTGGGAGGTTTTCGACGTGTTAGCTCCGTTCTTCAAAGGGCCTTACCGCCGGAGACAGAAATCCGTGAGGTAAGGTGAGGTGCGCATTTTTAGGGTCGACCTTTTCTAACCCCACCCCTCCTTGTGGGAAGGCAGCATCGCTGTCATGCTGGTTGTCCGAGGGAAACACTTTACTGCTGTCACACCTCTGTACAGTCAGCAGTACGACTTCGCCTTCGGACCTTGGGTTTGTTGCTTTTAGTCTTACCGCTCTTCAACCGACCTGTCTGACATGGTAGGACCTTGAGGAACGATTGTTCCAGCCAGTATAGCTCGGTTGCTTCATCACGATAGGCAAGTCCGACCACCACGTCAAGGTAGCAACAACGGTCGGGCGAGATGAATACTAAATCAGTTGAATCATATTTGTATGAATGATGATGAAAAAGAATAAAGAATATAACTCGGAAAGGAGGAATGGATTAAATAGTGTCAAATAATAAGTTAGCTGCCTCTAGCTTTCTTCCAATTTTACCCTTCAGTCAACATCTCTATTCAAAGTGAGGGACAGCCCGGTACATGTTACACATAATACAGACGCTTCAATCGACGCATCTTCTCAGTCTTATCAACCGTTTTATTTTGTTCGCCTACATCAAACCTCAATATCGTTCAGTCGTTTAGTCCACGATACATGAGGAGTGTTTCGATAACACCTACAAAGAATTTGTTTAAAATGTTGGACTTTTTATCAGTAATATTTGTGTTTTTCTTTTTTCCTTATATTCATAGGTGAATCTATTCTAGAAAGTACGATTGGAGTTACTAAAGATAGTGATTTATTTTTGATGGTTGAAGTTGGCAATGAAAAGGAGTAAGAAATTGTCATTATTTTATCTTAGTTTTTTATTTGAACTTATATTATTCGAAAATGAACACTTGAAATGGTTAGCTGCTTCATTCTGATTTGACGATTTAGTAGTAAAATACGTTCCTTTTGGTGATGTGAGTAGATACAAGCTGTTAGTTGTACAGTTTTGTCCATTATATCAAGACGGATTGTTCATAGCATTCTCGGTTTAGTTAAATGGATCAATAAACTTTTTTAAAGAAGAAAAAACTAAACTGATAATTTTTTTGAAATTATAAAAAATTTCTTAAGAATTATGTATAAATTGTTGTCTTATAGAGCAATTTTATTTCAGAAACAATCGTTCAATAGTTACAGTATCCAACTTTAAGGACTAGATAGACAGATAGATATCATTAACATAAAGGCCTGACACAGACATCCGTTTTCACAGATTTCCATATCACATTAGCACAACGAGGTGAAGGTAACAAAAGAGATCGATGTAGTATAAAATCGATGATAAAAAGAAAGACTGAAAATATTATTTAAAACATGGCGTGGGAATGTATGTATTAAGAAGTTTGAGAATTCGAAATAGAGAGGAAAAATGGACAGTAAATGCATCTGTACAACTGTGGACGATTTGGAATCGTGTTACCCAGTCCTAAGCCACTGATGACGATCATCGCGCGGACACTGACCAGGTGATATGCATCTATCTACATAGCTCAGACCAACAGTCAATGGCTTTATGGATTATGCCATTATTTGATTTGACCACCTCTTAACTTCTGCTTACTACCCCAATCGACGAATGGTCATCTAATAGTCCATATTTCCAACTTGAATCTATTTGATATGGCATGAAACCAATCGTTCACTTTATTTAAGAACAACCTTAGTTCACTCACTGTTCTGTGTTGATTTACATTGATTGTACTTCGAACCCACACCAATTAAACATATTACAAAATAATCATCCTTTCGATTGAAACTTTGATTGTTTTTACATAAAATTTCAAATTATTGTAAAAATCTTACGGAATGTTGCAGTTTTAAAAGCATTAGGTATCAGTTCTGGAAAGGTTTCAATGGCTTCAAAGTGGTTTTTAGAAGTCATCATGTAAATTACAGTAGTCAAATATTTCTTTACTAAAAATACAATTCACTCTGAAATAACATTCATATGGAAATAATTCATATTGGGTTATTGAGAAACTTTGATCAATTCAAATCAGTCAGTCTGTAACAACGTGGAACTTCGTAAGTACGTACATCAGTTTGAGTTGCCTAAACATATTAGCACAGAGATGCAGTTATCGATTCAAATCCCATGATGGTAGAATTAGTAAGAGTATAAGCAGTAATCGGAAACACTAGGGTTTGAAGATGTTATTCAAGGAGTATAATCCAATGAAATAAATTTGGAAAGAAAAAAGAAGGGACATGAAGAATTCAGAAGATTAAAATTTGCGAGAACAAAGAGTGTATGCACCTGCGCCATTGCAAATGATTTTGAGCCATGTCATTCAGGGTCTCTAACCATCGGTTGCTATCGTCTGCACCTACCAACAGGACTCAGTTCAATTGTCAGTGACTTCATGGACTTGTGCAATGTTTTGGTCTGGCCGCCCCTAGCTTTCTTCCAACCTACTCCTATACCACTGAACATCGCACGTTGGGGCAGTCGGTGGTTGGGCATACGTAAAACATGTCCCAGCCATCTCAACTGATGAAGTTTCACTACTTCATCAATTGATTTGCCATCCTTACCTGGTACCCGTTTCCTAACAACTGCATTACTTACTCGATGGTCCCAGGATATACGAGCAATATTTCAAAGACACCTATGATCAAATACTAGTAACCTACGAATATCCTCTACTCTTACCGGCCATGTTTCACTGCCATAAAGTAAGACGGAACGAACTTCTGCACAGTAAACACGTCCTTTGGTTGATAGACGGATATATCGCCTACGCCATAAATGACACAAGTTGGTAAAGGCTAGTCAAGCCTTCTGTATCCGTACTGAGATTTCGTCACACACCAAACCACAAGGGCTGATGAGACTTCCAAGATAAGTGAAGCGATCGACACGCTCGATTACTTCACTATCATTAGTTCGGGTGTCGATGTAACCCAATCCTGAAGCAACATTTTGCATTTCGAGGGAGAGAATCGCATCCCGAACATGCTTGCATTGTTGCTTATAGTGGTCAGAAGACTCTGCATTTTATCAATTCAAATATATATAAAGAATAGATAAACTGATTTGTATCTGTCAACTATTCATTGCCTTACTTAGTATTGGTTGATATTTCTTTAAATCTTATCATCACTGTAGATAAATAAATAAGTAATTTGTAAACGTACATATATTTATTTTTTATATTTTCTTTTTATATCAAGGTGGAATGATTCTAATAACAAATTTCGAATTCATCCACTTTATCAAGTTAAAGAGTTGCCTACATTACTATCATTATCATTTGTAAGTAGAATTTGTTTCGTATGGCTGATTATTTTCTTATAGTTTTGGTGATGATTTACAGTAGTTATTTTTTTTATTCAGAATCAATTTATAAGTACATTTTTTGTCATATTTTGTTCTTTCTTTTTTGACGGGGGTGGGTGGAAGAAAACAAGGAGATGGCTTTCTCTTTGTAATACACTACTTTTAATCAATGGTTTTCATCTCCGAACCCTTTGATACAACTGCATACATTTAGTTTAGGGTCAATCCTAGATACCTGTACTTAAATGCCGGGAAACGAAAATCATATTGCTTCCTCGATATGAAAAGATCCTAGAAGAAATTAAACTTGGTTAGACTACTGGTAAAGTTATAAATATATGATATGACACTATACCCCCCCCCAAGAGTTATCCTAACACAAACGACTGATTGATGTAACCTTCGTGACAATCGTCATTCATCTTTTCATTGATATTTCGGGGAACCACTTGTAAAGTATAACTGTCTAAAATATTATTGGAGGCATGTGAACAACTGTTTTCCCCCATGCCACAAAGCTTTTGCTTTCCAAACCTGGAAGTGACTATGTAATGAAATTAGGTACAAATTTTTTGTGAATAGCTCTCTATTAGCTTTTCAGACCTTACTCCCTGTTCCAAAAATCCATGTGGTGTACTGCAGTAAGAGTTGACCTTTTATAACCCTCTTCCTTCTATTATAGAAAGATAAGTATTGTTTGAAGGTGCACCATTGTACCGCGGTACAATCGGTCAAGCTTGATCACACTGTATTCAAATCTAAAGCAGAATGTATGATTTCTTCAGACGTTGTTACTTATCAATATTTTATCTGTTGACTGTTTTAATGACCAGTAATGACATAGTATTAGTGTAAACTTTACCTTTCGATGATGTGTTATTGACTATCCTATTTACAATATATTATATCTAACAATTGATTTATTGATTGAGATCATGAACCGATTGATGTTAGACCACCATTAAAAACCTGTAAGCACTAGATGGCCGTTTCGTTCCATTGTGGGGCTCCTCAGCAGTGAGCATCCACGATCCCGCTCGTGGGATTCGAACCCAGGGCCTTCAGTCTCGCGCGCGAACGCGGCCGTTCAGTGTTTCCAGGTTTCCAATGGTGGTCTAACATCAATCGGTTCATGATCTCAATCAAAAACTTGACAATCTCCACAACCCCTAAACTGATAGTTGATTTATTGTGATATTCCTTTTTTCTATTTACATAAATTTCAGTTAAACGGACAAAAACATATAGTTAATCGTCTTGATGGTAAATCATGCTTAGATTCAACAAATGTGCAAAATTTATTTGAACGCAATTGAACTGTGTTTTTCTTTTTCCTGTCCAATAAAAATATCATCTATCTGCTTTAAACTTGAGTTTCAATGCTATTAGCTTTGTAACTGAATATTTATTTTAAAAATATTTATGAAATTCTGCTTTCATTTCATGGAATATTACCACAACCTCCATGTATGTGTGTGCGTTTGTGTCGACGCAGTATTCTGTTGTGTGAATCAAGTCAGTTTACTCTCTTCTTTTTTTATTTCGCATTTCTTGTGATTATTTATTTTTGTTCCTGTTTATCAGTGTCTCTGTGTGTGTATGTGAATGTTGTACTCGGTGATATTTCTTTTAATATCCTATTTTTATTTATTTTTTTCTTTGTTCAATTATCCTTGAATTGCTGTTACTATTATTGTTTGTTTATTATTTGAACGTTGAAGTATCATTGTTTTACTAATATGTTATCTATCGTCCAGTAAGAATTAATGTTAACAATAAACTTTAAATATGCTAAAAAGAAAATGACATGAGTAACTTTTCTGTGGGGGTTTTTTTTCAAGTAAGTTGTAGCTTATAATTAAAATGTAAGATGAACGTTTCATTATACTTGTACTTTGTCAACTGATAGTATTGTATTGGAATGTGAACCTAACACTTTTCGCTTTAAACTTTGACTTGTTATTCACTTAACTTTTGAGTTCAAATAGTCGTTAACTTGTTTACTGTTAACTACGAAATTATCCGAACTCTTACTAGTAAAGATGTGATTTAATTAGTCAGTCATAAAAAAATATAAGATTTGACCACAAATGCATTACTTCAGTTTGCCCTGTTTTACATCAGCAGCAATGAAATCAAAGTAAATGAATAGAATGTCTTACTTGAATGTTTGTGTCGACCAATCGATCTTGTTGTGCTGATGTATGAAACAACTTATCCCAATGTATGTGCATGATAGGTCCTATATGTCTTATGACTACTGACTGAAATAATACTATTGATTTCATTAAAATTTGCACACAAAGAAAATTGAAATTATCAGTTGTGAGCACATCATCCAATGTGAGATCAAACTCAGAACAATCAAACCTCAGAGTATTTGCGTTTACTTAGTAGCACTATCTAATTGTTCACACTTTTCTACCTCCAGTCAGTTTATGACATTTTGCAATAGTTTGAGTTCACCGGTACTCAATGTTTTTCTAGCTATAGTCGGTTTTTGTTTTGTAAACTAAGAACTGAACATTTCACAGGTTTCTTATTTTAATAATACAAGTTACAATTCAAAAAGAATAAATAGAAATTGAAAAATGTGAAATAGAAAACTCAAGAGGATAAATGAGTACACCTATGCTATTCCATTCTACTTTAAGCTATGTCACTTCAAGATTCAAAGCATAAATCGCATACATTCTATGAACCATAAACAAGGTAGGCTACACACTGATAGTTAATGACTAAATAAACTAATATAAGTTTTTCTGAGACAGTAGCTTAATGATTAAACTCTTTCGATTTACAACCAATAGTTCAGATGGTTGAGCAATGGTTCATTCACTAAGCTTCAGAAAGCCGGGTTATTTCATTGACTGTTGTATAAACAACGCTGATCAAATTCATGTCCAGTCACTCCATGTGCATAACTTTATTAATCGACCTATAATATCTAGTCATGATTCCTTCAGCTATGAAATGATAAAGAATTATTAGTTCAGTAATGCGATAGAAAGTGCATTATTATATAATTATTTCACTACTATAGCAACTAGTGAGAATAACTTACATGTTGATACGGTATACATGTAGATATTTTTTTATCTAAAAGCTTACTAACACTGGCAACACATGTCTGTCTCAAAGGTTATGGAAGGCAATGACGTCAAAAAATGAAGTAAAGATGGTCATAATTTTAATTTGTCATTCACATCAATAATTTTATTAAAACCAAATATGTAAGTATATCTTGCCCACTGTATTGTTTTATGTTCATGAAGTTGTCTTTTCTTACCTGTTGCTCCCAAAGGATTCTATTGTTTGATTGTCTGTTTCCGATTAATATTTACTTATACTACTACTATCCAGACAGTTTTGTTCAAAAATAGATTTGAACCCGTACGCAGTTTCAAATAAATAATTACTTCATGTTAGAACTGAGTGGTACTCTTTGAGAGTAAATTAAGACAAAATTATATCTGGAGAAAATACCAATGTTATGCTAAAATCAACTTTTCTTTGTAGACAGATTCCCACTTATCGCCTTTCCGACATTATTATTTCATAATGTTAACAATTCATAATAAACAAATCTGAAGAGAGTGAGAATCACAATATGAATCAAGAACAACGTAGTGATTCATGATATTTCATTAACTTATCATCAGTTGTACATATTGTTTGAATCCCGTGTCATGAGTGTACACTACTGAGGATGCCTTCACTACAACAAATCTTCCGTCAAGTGCTCGTAGGTTTATAATGGTGTTCTAGTCAAAATCATTTAGTTTGTGATATTGTAGTGGCTTTGTTTCTTTAATCGATAACCGTTAAAATAAAAATATCAACGGTGTTTAAAATTAGAAGGCAATGAGAAGTGGCAACTACAGTTTATTGGCGGATAGCACAGATCACGAAGCTATAAGCCCATCGAAGGAACTTAAAGCTGAGGGACGAATAAGTATGTGCAAGTAATTACGTGGGCAAATTTATGGTCAAATTGCATAAGGGCAAAGTAAAGGCTAATAATATTTGAACTGGCGCGCGTTTCAAGAAGGTCAGTGACTTTGTACTTGTGATTATCCTTGCTTTTGCGTAATTGTTGCGTCAAAGGCATTTTGGGTCTACTTTATATCAAAGCACTTAAGTTAAGGTTTGAAATCTCGCTAAAGTTTGTCTTGTGGTACCCTCTTTCTCATTGACTGACACTTGTATTCATAACGTTTTAAACCTTGATCTGATTACGATGGTTGGTAGTACTTATAAATGTGGACAGCCAAAATGTTTGTTCGGCGTGGAGGAGGGAATGCAGTTTGATGAGTGCAAAAAGTGATTCAATAAGATGTGTACCCGTTTAATTCCCACCGCATACAAAAGATGTTCGAAGCCTTGCTCGCACTGGCTTTGCATGTTTGGCCTTGCGAACAAGACGTTACTAATCCAGGAGGCCATGAGCTTATTGGCTTTGGCCTGTAAGCAGAACGGTGGCGGTTGCACTGACAGTGAAGAACGTGTCAGTGTAGTACGTGCTGTTACGAGGCGCCTCAAACATCCGACTGTGACTGACGGTAAAGTGAAATATCCGTTAGCATTAACGGAGAGGGAAGTGCCAGCTGACGTTGACGTTGGTAATCATGTACCTCTAGTGGGAATTAAAGACCTGGATAAAAACGTCCGCGTTCCAAATTTCCCCGGTGTCCTGAGTGAAGATTAGTGGACTACAGTTCAGAGAAAAAGAAACGAAAAGAAAAAAGCTGTATGCAGTATGGAGCTGGTTAGCAAGTTATTGGTGGACTGCCATTGTGAGTCACAAGATGCACTACCAAAGTCTGATAGTAGTAGGATTTCCACCATGGGATGACTGAGAAGGAGAATCTAATCTCATCAAATATCATTGTGAGTAAATTGCTGGAGTTAAACGGCCCTTATCCAAAACTAGACACGCGCATGATATAAGGAAGCTGGGAGCATATATTTGTAGTATATTACCAGAAAACTCCAAGGGACTTCAGGTCAAAAAATTGGTTAGAATAGGTAAGAGGATTGAGGAAAATGTTGAACACTGACCATGTGAACTCCTTAAGGTAATCCTAGAATCGGAGAAGCAACGGGATATCCTGCTTAGTAACGCTCGTTGTCATGATAACTCCGACATACGGGTTAAACCTGATATGTCTCTCATATAGGATAGGCCGTTCTACTTAGTGGTTTTGTTTGCCAATGCTCGTAGTCTAAGAAATAAGCTCTATGAACTAAAAGCATTGGTGGACAGGTTAAAGCCGCTCATCGCAGCAGTGACAGAAACTTGGTTAGTCACATGACTCAGACATTACACCAGAATTATTCAGATAGACATAGATGTAGAAAAGGAGGTGGCGTCCTGTTATGCATGACCAATAATATAAATATCCGCTCTTCTGCTAGAGAATCGCATGATAGCGGTACTTGTGAAATCGTTAGCTGTAAATTGGCTATCGGATGTAGTACATTTATGCTCGGTGTCATCTATTGCAACCCGATCTGCTTAGCTGATGACTTTAGTTTAGAGTACATTCATCTTTGGAGTGCAAATACCAGATGCTTGATAATAGGAAACTTTAATGCACCTGATATTAGATGAACTGAGATGACCACAGAAGGATCTATAAATTCCCTTGATAGTAGGTTTCTGATAACAATAATGGAGCATGTACTAGTGCATCGTGTATCCAAACCCACACGTTTTAGTGTTAGCCAAGGATCTTCTCTGTTGGACTTGGTAATCATTCATGTGGCTGAGGATATTGTCGACCTAAATATTCTTCCATCGTTAGTGAATAGCGATCATGCTTTTTTGTCATTCGCGTTTAGAACTAGGGACATGTTATACAATCAGGTTATTCCTCGCCCAAATGTATGGAAAGCTAACGTATCAGCCATTCAGGAATGCGCTGCTAAGACAGACTGGTTTGTAGATACTAGCTTATCGGTTGAAGAAGCATGGTCTGTATATAAAGGTAAGTTTAGTCTGGTTATGTCCCTGTTCATACCATACCTGGTGCCACGAACACCGAAAAACAGTCCCCCATGGATAACTAAACCAGTAAGGAAACTTCTTAGGAAAAGGAAGAAACACTGGAATATGTTCATCTCTACTGGCCTAGAACAATACAGATCCAGTTATTGTAAGATTAGGAATACCTGTAAATCGTTAGTAAGACTAGACTATCATATGAAAAACAATTGGTTAAGGATTCTAGATATAGTCCGAAACGGCTATTCTCGTATATAAAAAGGCGAACTCAGAGAAGCGATGGAATTCCATCATTTTCGATAAAAGAATATCCGTTCATCTTGGTAAGAAATTATGCCGAAACAGCCGAAGCTTTATCGGAATATTTCAGTAAAGTGTTTTCTGTCACTGATGAAGAATGACCAACGATTCATTGTGACTGTGGCGGCGTGCTGATGGATCCTGTAGTCATTGAGAAAGGTACTGATTTAAGGCTATTTTAGCATCTCAAACCTGATAAGTCCAGTGGTCCTGATGATATTCATCCTAGGATTATGAAAGCCATATCAAAAGTAATTTGTGAACCATTAGCGACACTGATATGTCTCTGAGGCAGTCCAGACTTCACAGAGACTGGAAAGATGCTATAATAAGTCCGGTGTATAAGGCTGGGGGTGTAGATTTAGTTAGTAACTATAGATCCATCAGTTTTACAACTGATGGAAAACATCATTCGGATATCTGTTATACACTATGTGCAAGGGCATAATCTTTTCTCCAAAGAGCAATATGGTTTTCGGGGAGGCCTATCATGTTTGACACATCTTCTCATTGCAAGAGAAGACTGGGCCGCGGTTAAATATCGGGATATTCCTGTAGATGTGATCTCCATGGATATAGGTAAGGCCTTCGATAAGGTCTCCCATTCTAGTCTTAAATTCAATCAGAAGGTTTTGGAATCCTTTATACAGACGTAGATTGGATAAGTAACTTTCTCCATGACAGGAGAGAAAGGGTGAGTGTTAATGGAGCCCTCTCCACGTGGTTACATGTAGAAAGTGGGGTTCCCCAAGGTACAATCCTCGGTTCTCTTCCCTTTTTACTTTATGTAAATGAATTGCCACCTTTAGCAAAATCATCCGTTCTACTCTTCGCTTTGGAGACCCATTCATAGTATGTCGGATAGAATAGTATCACAGACGAACACTCGAAGAAAGTTCAAAAACCGAGATCAAATCTTTTACGTCTGCAGTTTCGTTTCTCGCATCAAGTAGTGAATTACTGATATTCTCTACCGTAACACGTAATATCAGCACCTTCTGTTGATATATTCAAAACGAGATTGGACCTCCACAGTGTTACAAACTGAAGGGATTAATATAATTCGATAGGCCACCTATACTTGTTACTGAAGACGGAGTACATACATACATGGAGGGGGGAGGATAAACTGTCGTATGATATTTAAGAGATCAACATTTTAGCTAGAGTCTGTCATGTGATCTAGTGATCATAAAGATACAAAGAAATAGACAAATTGTTCTTGTTCTAATAATATTTTCTGTTAACTAAGTTAATAAAAGGCCTTATCGACAATTGAACATAATCGAAATTGATTACAGAATAGATGCGGTAATAAAAATTAAATGTCAAAAAAACCCAGTAAATTCAACCTACATTCGTAAAAGTGAAACTAGTCAAAAATGAATGTAACCTGTTTGCAGACGCCATGTAACTCTAGCTTTAAATAAAGTTCTACAATTTCAGTTATATTGAAATAAATATTCGGTTGAGAAAATTGACGAAGGATACATGTGTAAGGATGGTAGATCAGCATTTGTGTAATTACGTAAATGAAAATCAGTTGATGAATAATTAAGATTGAAATATGTAGTGGATGATATTCAGTTGGCTAGTGTGAAATTATGACACAGACTAGCAAATTAGGTAAGGTAAATTGAACTTAATATTGTTTTACTCTATAAACTGAAGATTCGATTAGTTAGGTATATAGAAAGCAAACTTATTACAAGAGGTGGTTATTGTTGGAATATTTAGGCTACGCGGTAATGATATCTAAATATCTCAACAAGTCATTTTTGTTTGTTTTAACACACTATTATGTCTATAATTTGCACAACTTACTCAATCGCATTTATGAAAAGTTTATGACCTTTCACTGTGCAACTTACAATAAAGTACAATCAGCGACATCGTGATGGCTGAAAATATGCATTGAAGTCAGTGAACATTAATCATATGTCGATTCTTAACATGTCAACCAGCGTAAACAATGACAGCTGGATAGCCAACTGCCTATGTTTCTACCTCTTTCGAAGTGAAAAGTACACTGTGTTTGGAGGAAGGTGTTCGACATCTGTACCGTCTCATGGTGTGCCACAAGGAGCTGTTTCTCCCCTCTTCTCTTTTTTGCGTGATCTGCTATCATCCGTAGAAAACACTTCCGCTAAATATGTGGACGATCACGCTGTAAGTATACCGATTTCTACTTCTTTACATCCCCTTGAAATGGATGAATCCTTATCTCGTATCGTGGTCTGTTTTTAATGGTCTCATACTTAATCCGTTTAAATGTTAAACTGTCAACTTCAGTCTGAAACATTGACAGCCCTTAGACACACTGTTGTACTATTGGAGATTGTTTGATAAACACACTGTCAAAAGTTATTTTTCTTGGTGCAACCTTTCCTCTTGGTCACCCCATGTTTCATTGTTATCGAAGAAAGTTTCCTGTCCGATTTACTACATAAAGAGGCTACATGCCTTCGGGACTACTCGACATTTACTCCTAAAATTCGTCGATTCTGCACGTTACTTATTATTCTTTACTGTTCTCCATTATTTTTTCCCGGACTTTTTAGAAAAGAATTTTCTGTATTGCGGAGTGCTGAAGGCAGTTAGCAGCATGTATAGTGAATCTTTTGAGATCATTATTAATATAGTTGTGAATAGACATATAAGGTCTTGCAAATTCCCGGCACGTGTTATCTTATCAGATACTAACCATCCCCTTCATCCACATAGTTCACCTTGTATATCTTCTGGTAGAACGAGACTTCAATACATTTGAGTCCATGCGCGCAAGCAAAAGTATATAAACCCTACAGTACCTTATCTAGCAAATATACTATGTGACGAACAGATTGTTAGAGTTAACCTAGTCAATAACCTGTATTCTCAGACATGTTTCTAATTGAAAAAATTGTAGAGATTCAAATCTCCTTAAAAACATTGCGTTTAGTTCCAGGTAGTTTATCTGCTTAATTTATGCATGAATATATGCCGTTATCAGTTTCCTCCACTATTTTTGTAAAAGAAATACCTTGTGCTGAGAATCCTATGTTGTATCATAAATAAAATATTAAGTAAAGCCATTAATAATAGTAAACTAGTTAATATGTCAGAGTCAATACAACTTGAATAAAAATCAACTGTTTGTGGCCGGTCGAAGACAACCATTTTGTGCTACTTGTTGAGACATTACCTCCGGAGACGGATATTCGTGGGACACGGCAAAGTGTGTATTCTTCCAATCAACCTTTTCTAATCCAACTCTACCTTTGCGAGAAGGCCTTGAGGAACGATTGTCCCAGCCAGTATGGCTCGATTGGTTCATCACGATAGGCAAGCCCAGCCGCTAAGTCAAGGTGGCAGCAACGGCCGGAAACAGTATTATTAGCGTCATAGTTACAATTAGGTAATCAAAATGACAAGTTAAAAAACTTAACGTACACAATCCTGAATCAGCTAGTGTTACAAATCCATTCTCAATTTGAATTCTACAAAACGCTAAACATTTGACCGGTCTAGATGTTTTATTCTATATAATCACTGCTTTCTTTATTAATGAATTCCATCTTTTTTGACGTCCTCTAGATTTTCTTGAATTCAAATACACTCAAATCAGTATACGATTATGTAACTCAGACTGTTGCTGCAAAGAATAAATAGCTTTGTTGTTCGGAAAATATTTGATTGCTTAAATTGAAACTGTGACACTTTAATATGCCAACTTCATTGTATTTAGTCAAAATGTTTAAACTGCCAGTGATTATTTCTCTTTTCCGTTGAAAGTGTTTCTCTTAATTGTTATCGATAACACTTCATTATCAAATAAATGCCACCTTTTAGTTGATACTATTTAAATGTGAGATTTTTATTAGTTTTTTTTATAAATAAAGCGTTATTTCTTCGATAAAGAATTTGCAACTATTCAACACGTCTTCAAAATAACCAATAGATTTTCTAGTTTAAATCAATTACTGCATTGATAATACAAAGCATTTCAAAATGTGAACAACACAATACAGTCATTATAATGTATTTCTTTATAAAATATAATGACTTATTATATGAACTGTTTCAAAAACAAAATTTTTAAGCATTCATCAATTATCCATACAGTTTAAAGTCTATACAGCTTTATTGGGAGAATATATGATTTGTTTAGGGTATGGTTCAGTGATATGCCGTGTTCAAAGTATTTTCTAACGAACAAGCCGCTTGTTCAGTCAGTTAGTAAACCTTTGTTTTTTATCGTTGGAAGTTATTCATCTGAATTTGAAGTGTTTGAAGGCCTAAAGTGAATAGTTTTATAAGTGAAAAAATTAGATATCAACATCCTAGGCTTTTTGTTTGATATCATATAAATCCATCTGCCCTAGACTTTGACTTATACTGTTACGCAGTCCGAGTAAGTTACTCTGCTGTTGGGCCAATAAAAAATAACCACACACTCATTTCTCGATTGTAACTTACCCCTCCCTAGCATAACAGAAAAATATTTTGATTGAATAGTATCCACTAGTTCATATGTACGAATCAAGTCATATACATTAGAAGATCAGAGAGAAACGTGCCTATTATGACACCTGAGGACACTTCAAAAATGGATGAATGCGAATGACCTTTTACAACTGATTATGAGTTATATCACTCGAGATCCACGATTAGTGTGCGAACCATAAAGAAGTATGTGATTCCCAAGACGACCAATATAAGCAGTTAAGAATATAATGAATCGATATCATTGCTTGGTTTAACGTTCCTTAGTCTTCTTTCAACCAACTTAGACGCTAGTCATCACTGAGTCAGGATGGATGGTGGCTGGAAAAGTTAACTAATATCGTCCGAATAATACAATAGATGTGCAACCCACATTTTACCCAAAAAGTGGTACGTAAATTTGAGCAGATAAACATATGTGTATCTAGAAAGGTTTGGTTTTCTATAATAAATACAGGTAAACACTAATGTGTGAATCAATTTTGGAAAGTGAGTTACAATTCAGTTCTGAAAATTCTCTTTTAACTTAAGATAAATTCATCATTTATTTCCTATACCATGATTGAATGTGTTTTTCAGATTTAATTTTCTTTTGCAGTTGTAATATAGAATACATCAGCGCTTCTGCAGATGGAGGACAACCTAACATTAAAAAGAAATAAATAAGAATATTATTATTACTTTCAAGTAAAAGAATGAGCCCGATTTGACACAATAGTTTAACATTAGGCTTACTATTTAGTGCTTAAATTAGCTAGACATATAGTAGAACTTAACTGCGACTAAATAATTTGAACTTACAATTTTAACGTGTTTGATCTCATTGAAAAGTGGCAAGACTATAATTTATGCACAAACCAATCAGGTAGAAGATAACAGGTCTCGGATTTTGGCACGAAATTCATCCATCCATTTGTCTAAACAGTTTTGGCATTATAGCTGACATCAATCGGTGATGAAAACCTTGAATCTAATCCCTGAAACTAACCATAAACTGTAAATAATAATTCTCGTTCCTCACACTGGTTTATAACCTTCATTTGATCTTAGTTATAAAGTGAACACTCTCAAGGTCACTTCAGCGTCGCTCAAAGGTCGTCCATAAATTATAGTCTCACCGAAAAAGTCTGCATTAAGTTAACATGGGACCTTTAAATCAGTTAGTCATGAAAATCATATAACCTAACACAAAGGTACGAAGCCTCAAGTTATTATAATTCATATTGGTACAGTGAATCAGAGAATCAACAAAAAAACTAATGGTATTGAAAATATTGAATGGCTTCGAATAATACAGCATCTGAATACGACTTTAGCCGGAAACCACAGGTTGGTTTCTCTAAACCTTTTAATCTATATTGATGATGGCTAAGCTTGAATCCACAGAATGAGCGTGTAAAACATCTCAAACTATGATTAAGTCAGTGTTATTTACTCAATTAAATGGTTGTCACCCAAAGAAATTATTAGTCATATATAACTGATTATTGTTAAAGTAACTAAACATGATACATCCCCATTCGCTTAACAAAAGAAAGGATACGGCGCGCAGCAGCTAACCCTATATTTACGCATGTGAAATGGTATCTGAGGGTTTAGGATATGTGTAGATTGTTGGTAGTTGTCACGACGGTTTTGCACGTGTATAGTCCATCACGTGAATAATGCTGAAGCTACTCGCAGGCTACTAGATGGAGATGATGCATGTCTGATGAGGATGTGAACGTTCACCGACTAGTGACCGAGATATGCTGTATATATTCCACACTACTCCCCAACTGTTAAATAAAATAAGTAGCCAGGTAGTATTTTTAGTCTTCATAGAAGTATCTCTCGTAGTCGAGTACACGGGCAAGTAATTAATTCAAGAACTATCTGTGTTTTTCCCTTTTGAGTATTATTTATTTAATGGAATTAGGTTAGATCCTCTAGTTTGTGGCTATCAAGTCAAATTTTAAAAAAACTGGTAGGTCCAACTGCGAGCAAAATGAACAATCTAACAACAGCATACCTGGGACATATATATCAACCGGAATAATTCGATCACAGCCACGTACAACGCTATATGAATAATGATAGTAACCACCACCATTTGCACAAGAGCCCATTGAAATAACCCACTTCGGTTGAGTCATTTGGGCGTAAATTCTGTGAAGAGCCGGAGCCATCTTGTTTGTAACAGTTCCAGAAACGATTAAAAGGTCGGCTTGACGTGGACTAGCCCGAAAAACTACCCCATAACGATCCATGTCATAACGAGGGCCAGCGATATGCATCATTTCAACAGCGCAGCATGCAAGACCGAAAGTAAGCGGATATATTGAGTTCTATGGAGTGAAATAGTAAAAATCGACCCCACTTTTCTAGCCCAGTCCGCTAAATCATCAAGCCGGGTGATAACATAGTCTATTTTCCCTTGTGGTTTTGGAAAAGGACTGTACGGTTTGTACGGGATGGACTCATCAGAACTATCAACTTTAGAAGGTTGACTAAAGTTATATTAACACAATTTTATCGCTAACCTTGGCTCCGAAGATGAAAGTCGCGAGTATGATGAATAAATCAGCCTATGAAGTCCTTTATTGCTACTCAAGGACAACATACCAAAGTAGCGGTGAGATCGAAAGTAGCGGTCTGAACATTGAATCTAATATATATCGTTAACATTCAGATTCAAATTTGTGTAGTAAGGACAGAAGACCTACGGCATATGCTATTTCTTCTCTAGTATGCTTGTGTGAGTGTCCATTCTTCTCTTGAAAGAGTCAATTGAAGGTGAGTACAACACTGCTTCGGGCATCAGGTTCCAAGTATTGATGACTCGGTGTGAAAACCTGTATGTCATGTGTATATTGTCTGTCGTCGGCTTTTCTACGCGCTTGTTATGTCTTCTGAGATATCCTGATTTAGTGGGAGGAAAAAGAGATCATATATTAGGTCTAGAATCACCTCTTAGTATTCTATACATCAACATCAGATCACCTCTTGTTTTACGGTACGACAGATTATTGAGGTCTAGCTTTTCCAACTGCCTTTTGCATGGTGAACCTCGGAATTCTATAATTGCACTGGTAACTTCCCTCCGCACGTTATCCAGGATATCTGAGCCACTTTTTAAACAGGGGCTTGCAGCCTGAGAGCAGTTCTGAGGCTTAGTTCTCACTAAGGTTGTGCATACTGCAGTGAGCATAGTAGTATCTGACTTGGTGGATGTCCGTCCCGGAGGGTTCGAGGCCCCTTAGCTGTGACCTCCCGGCAATGGGCCGTGGTCTTAAGACTATAACTCACTGTCACTCTTAGATCCTTGTGGGACCGAACCACAGGTACAGGCACTCTCCCTATGCTATATCTACTAACCTTTGTATCCACAAAGTGCACGTAGACACACTTTGTCGCAGTGATAGGCATTAGCCACTTCTCAGACAAGCTAACCACAATATTTAAATCTTTCTGAAGTGCGCATGCATCTGCATCTTCTGTTATTACTCGCCAGATTTTTATATCGTCTGCGTATAATAACATTGGGACTGTACTAGGGAGATCACTTATATACAGTATAAAAAGTAAGGTACCTAGGACAGAGCCATGTTGTTCGCTGTTTAACAGGTCGTTGGTTTCCATAAATGTCATTATGGTTTTTTTGACTACTATTTCCACTATTTTAACTACGACATTGGTGAGCCTGACAGGTTTGTAATTTGGTGGAAGTTATCTTGATCCTGTTTTATGTATGGGAGTGACGATTGCATCCTTCCAGTCCATAGGTAACACACCTTGGTCAAGTGACATATTGAATGTCACAGTCAGTGGGGCCACGATATATTGTGTAATATGTTTCAAGATTTTGGGGTGAAGTTCATCTGGTCCTGTTGACTTTTCCATGACCAAGGTGCTAAGAGCCCTAAGCACATCGTCTTGATCAAAGTCCACGGTGAGTAGGTGGTTTGTTGACTCTTTATTTTTGTCTAATTCTTTGTCTAGAGGAGGTTTCTGAGTGAAAAATGCCCCAAAATAGTTAACCATGGCCTATGCTTTTTCCTGATCTTCCTCTAACATTTAAGATTCACTCTCCACTTTAATTAGGTTGGTAGTCCAATGATGCATCCTTGTTCTGTAGTTTATGTACGAGAATATTCTCTTAGGCTGCTTGATTGCAGATTGTGCCAGCTGCATTTCATATTTTCTCTGAGCTTCCCGGATTTCAATTATGCACTTGGTTCTCACTGATCTGTAGCGTCCCATCGTGCTTGCTGTACAAAGGCTGATTGAAACATCCCAACATTTCTTCTTTTGTCTTAGTAAATGTCGAATATCCCGGCCTATCCAGGAATGGCCGTGCCTCTTCTTCTTTGGAACTGTCCAGAGTATATATGGTTGAGTTACCTGACTGTATAACTGCCTGAAAAGAGTGCATGCCTTTCGTACTGATGCTCTTGAGTCGATTTCCCAGTTTTCAGCCGATGCTGCGGAGTTGATCGCCTCTATGTCTGCCCTTCATATATTAGGACGGCCTGGCGCAAATTTTTGATAAGCAATCTCAGCCATGAATTTGAATAAAATGACTGCATGATCTCTTTTACCTAGTGGTGGGAGAAAAGTGATTGGACCATCGTCATCACCGTGTGTGAAGCCTAAGTCCAAGGGAGACGAGGAACTTCTTAACTCATATCTGGTGGGACCTCCAACGTTCTGTAATAAAGCTAGTGCAGTTGAGGTTCCTTACAGTTCGCAATCAAATGACGTTTTCGATTATCACACTTCTAAGTTAACCCAGTTTATATACGGTGCATCAAAGTCTCCTGCTTTAAGGTTTTTACTCATATTACACCACAACTTAGGTTTGCTTAGGAGGAAGTTATCGACTACACATTCTGGACTGCGATATACTACAATTAATTCAATATTTTACAATTTGAAAATTCTTAAGTAGGAGGTTTCTTTCACCATTTAGGCGATGCTCATTAATTTCTACTTCTGTAGCTCGTCTCTTAATATGGTCAACCAGGCTGTGATCCTCACGGACGTACATTCCGGACCCAAATAGTTTGCATGAGCTTCCCATTATCAGGTTTCTTTCTTCAACTGTAACAAAAGTGACCTTCAATAGACGGCTTTTCTGAGTACTTTCAGAATCCACATTTTGTCCTATTGTAAGAAGCTTGCAGATGCCTACTTATTAAGAACTTGATGTGACTGAAGTCGTGCTCAAATCTAGCCTTTGGTTTCTTTTCTTAAGATTCTCTTTACATATGAAAAATGACTGACACCTCAGCAAGGTCCGAATTAACACGCGAAATTTTAGTTCCTGAAATCGTGTCTTCCCTGTAATCCGATTCCAATTTAGTGTCCTTAGTTGTGACTGTGAGCCACTCATTTACCTTATTTTGTCTCTTGATTACATCCTCTACACCGCTCAGACTTGGCTCTCCCATAGTTTGTTTTGCGTTGATATGTGAATCCAGAACTGAAAACGTATATTCACATACCTTAGTAAAGATGCCACAATATTCGGAGTTTAACGACGTTTTACCTGTAACACCTTCACAATCAAAGTACGCTAAGTCAGTCGAATCAGAAGTCAGAAATGAAGAAGTTTGGAAATATATTTGATAGGATGTCTATACAACGAGATGTGACCAATCTATGTTGGTTAACTCTTGTAAGAGGTGTGAAGAACGACGTATTCACTCGCACCTGTTTTGAAGACACGACTTTCTACGGCTTTCCTCCGTTCTTTTAGTAGTCTACCTTTGATTACAGATCGATTAAAACACATACTTGATGGATTTACGACAAAACTCGTTAAATCCTTTCGTAAGCTATGATGAATATCATCAGGTCCCATAGGTTTCCCTATATTAGACTCACTCAACAAACAATGGTAACGGTATCCAAAGTACTTGTGAACCAAAGGGAGGTTGCCTCCAAAGCATGTATAACGCCAAAGTAATTTGGGAATACCGTGGCTTTACCGTGATCGTTTCCCAATAGCGATGTATTACTACTTTCTCCCAATAATTCTGAAATGCCACCTTTTCACCTAGGTATTTGATTCTTACACGAATATATAGACTATGACAGGTTTTTCTTCATACAATCTTCTAGACTTGAGGAGAGTAGTTCCACAAATGTTTCTGTTTTCCCAATATTTAGATGTCATACAATCAGCACCAAGTAATCGGCTTTATAAGTCTTTTAGAAGCCTGGATCAGTTTGCTTTCAAGAACCTCTGGCTACCTAATGTATAAACCTTCAGTAATGTGGTCACAGAGATACGTTGAGCCCTTAGCTGGATAAGAAAATTCTCCGTCAATTAAATGATACGCTCATAGAGATTTCTGGGCTGTGAGGTTTAGCTCTTCTTGAGTCTATAGAAGAGAACTGTCCTGTTACGATGATCAGACTAGGATTGCTCACTCGCAGTTCGGAGGACCGACTTTCCTTTAACGACATCAAACGTTCCTTATTTTTGGTTTGCACCCATTCAATAACTTTCTAAAGATTAACAGCCACAGCCGAGTTATACACATTATGGTATCCTGTATAGTTATCAATGACTTAGATGGTTAAATTGTTGATTTTAATGCCAGAAACTGATATCACATTACGATAAGTTTTCTAGGTATCGCGAACGAAGCATTCATATCCTTCTAGAGAACTCGTAATCTGGTGTAGATGAGTGACAGAGCGCCCTCAGCTAAGGTCAGCATCAATGTCAAAGAACTGCAGAAATATTTATTTTGAGGAATTATTTGCCGCGACACTTCATTTGCTGACATATTCGAAAGGATGTTGTATCGATTGTGACATCAACATTGTCCGAACTCAAATGGGCCACCCAGCCTCCTGTCTTTTACAAAATGAAACTTTCAATTGTTACATTCGGAAGTGCGACAAATATTAAAAAACAGTGTGCCCAATAAAATTGCAAATGCAAAATTACCCTTGAAAAATATCAGTTTCAGTTTCACTTTTGGAAGGACAGGAGGCCTGATGGCCTGTGTTAGTCCTGGCAATGGTAGTCCCTCAGTTGATCCAACTTTCTTTTGAAAGAATCGACGGATGGAGCCTCAACCACGTGCTGAGGTAATGAGTTCCACTCGTTGATGATTCGATGGGAAAGTCGATAGTCAGCTGACAAGTAATTTGTTCTCGGCTTGTGAACTTTTTTGAAGTGTCCTCAAAAATTCTCTGTTTTAGAAGACAAGAAAAATGAGGGCATATCAGGTGCAAATTTGGCACTAAGCAATTTGAAAACTATAATCAAGTCGCCTCTAGTTCTGCGATATGACAACGGGAAAAGGTTGATGATGTCACAGGTATTCAGTGTTTGACAACGCTTATACCAGTAACACCTAATATATTTCGTTCCCGCCCAGAGAAATCAAAAGACAGAGTCGAGGAGATCGGAAGAGTATATTTGGCGATGACCAATATATCGGAATTCTCTGATCTAATCTGGCTAGCGATTGCGGTTGATGTTGAGCACGGCGTTACCACACGTGATCTGGTGCGGATGCATGACCGAGCGCCTTCAGCTAGATGAGTCCACTAAAACATATGGTCAGCATCCAATGTCGAAAACTTAGGGCTATTTATTTT